GTTCAAAGCCTGCTGTCTTTCTCACCTCTGCATGAGGTGGGTGTGAATATTGAATCATCAGTTTCAGAAAGTTACCGAAATTGTGGGACACAGCCCCTCACCTCTACTGCCCCAATTATGATGTCGGAGATGTGGGTGGAGGGAGTTTCAAAAGCTATTCGACCACCTGACAAGCACTTCAGATGGAGCATACTGGCAGATTTACCCTGCTAATTTGCAGTTTTTTCATCTGTTGGGGTATGTTCCTGGTAAGATCCAACAAACTTGAAGCAGTAGAGGAAATCAATAATGACATGTAATATACTTTACACAGATGGCTCTTATTTTAAGCCTGTGCACACCTGTGGTACACCTACACATGTGATTTCAGTTATTCTGGCAGATTAGAGCTCTTCTCAGGACTGTGTGGGCATGTGCAGACTGTGTGTGATTGACATGTGCCTCACTCTCCCACAGTTAGTTTTGTTGCACCAGCCAAGGTGTGACAAATGACACTTTCATCATTCTTACTGGGGCATGGAGGTGGGTGACCTCATAGTGTAGAGTTCACAGGGCCTTTCAATTCATTTCATAAAAATTACTAAAAGATGGCGGCACAGTGATAGCATTGTCCCATCACAGCAAGAGGGTTCCTGGTTTTCTACAGGTACTCCAGCTTCCTCCCACAATCCAAAGACATGCAGCTTAGGTTAACTGGTGTCTCTAAATTGTCTGTAGGTGTGAATGTGAGCGTGAATGTTTGTCTGTCTCTATAGCCCCTTTTACACTGCCAGATTTTCCGCGGATGTTGGGCTGTTTTGCCGGCAAGCTGCGAGCATTTAGACACACAGGGTAGTGTCTACCTCGTAGGGTAGTCATATTGGAGGAACCCTTTTCATTTAAAAAGACAGAGGCGGCCTTCCGCAACAGGAGGGGCTGTTGATGACTTGTGGGAGGAGCTGTTGATGATAAACAGGAAACAACTGATAGCAGGAATTAGCGAACAGCTAGTAGCAAGAGGGAAATGTAAACCTGACAGACACTGTAAAGATGAGCAACTGGGGAGAAAAGGAAATGCGTGCCCTCCTTGCCCTCGCAAACAAAGAGGCCATTAACCGTCACATGACGGGGACAGTGAAGAACGGGCCGACTTATGAGAGAATCGCTGAAGGACTGACTAGCCACGGCTTCCCTCCCACGTCACTGTTTACATCACACGCTGAGCTACATGTTTTGTTACTTGCTCACGCCCCCCATTGCCCCAAAAAGGCACATTCTGTATAAACAAAATTAGGTAGGCGGCATTTTGCCGCACTCCCCGATTTTGTTTTTATACTGTCAATGCTGAAAGAAGACTGATTGGGCTTTCCTGCAAATTTGCACAATTCCTATCTAAAAAGGGCTTATGTGTCAGCCCTGCAATAGTCTGGCGTTCTGTCCAGGGTGTAACCTGCACTCGCCCAATATCAGCTGGAATAGGCTCCAGGCCCCCCTTGATCCCCCAGCAAGATAAGCAGTTACGGAAAATTAATGAATGAATACTAAAAAATGTTTGGAAAAAATCTTATGTCCTCCCTCCCAAAAAATACAGTTTTTGTTTGTTTTGTAAGAGCTAATTAACATGGACATTTATTTACATTGCTATGACAAATGAGCAAACTCAATCTGCTCATGATGACATCATGATCCAAAGCTCCACAACTGAATAGACCTTGAGGTGAGATTGTTTTGTCAAATACTGTTTCCAAGGCCAAGAATAAACAGCGAAACTCAACAGTTTTGTCAACAATATTCTACTCAGACTAAGCCAGAATAATAAGCCCCACTGTTTAAGTACAGCACAGTGCCATACTACACTGTTTACAGTAGGCCTAATGGTATCATCATTTGGTGTCTTGCCATTTGCCCACTGGCAAGTACTGGCTTTACACCAGTGTTTCAGTCCACAAGATATATATATTCAAAATTGACACTTACCAGCAACTGTTAAAAAAACAAAAACAAAACACTTTTGGCAATATTGCTTGAAGAAGAAGTAATATATTTAGCTGGATGGAATCTGTCTTTGAAATACTAGATACTATATTTCAGGGTAGAAAGATATTTCGAGGGTTCAGGTTTCACATGAATCAACCGCTACTAAAACATCAGGCACGTTCATGTGACGCTTGTCAAATTTACATGAACCATTCTGCCGGTTTTAAAGCAAGATTTTGGTTTTTCTAACTTAGCTGCTGCGGATTAACGAGAGATTGTGAAGTCATTCAGTGTTTTATACTCTTCTTCTTCTGCAGCGATTTCTCCTTTGAGTGGCTTTGAGTGGTTAGAGCTCATCTGCCCTCATACATCCCCTCCATCATGACGTAGATAGATAGATAGATAGATAGATAGATAGATAGATAGATAGATAGATAGATAGGAGTAGTGAATCAATGGTAAGGGTGAGAGAGAGAGACAACAAGTGTGGGTGAAAGCAAGCGAGCGAGAGAGAAATTGCCCTTGTGCTCCGCTTTAGATTCCGCTCACGTTCTGCTCTGTCCCCAGACGTTAAAAGTGTGTCCATAGTTTGGGCGACCGGGGGAGTGATTGGAAATGTCAGCTGACAACAGCACTTTTCACTGACACTCTGAGAACTGGCACAGAGACAGAGAGAGAGGGAGAGAGGGATAGAAGGAGGGGGGCAGTGAGAGAGAAAGAGAGAGAGAGAGAGAGAGAGAGAGAGAGAGAGAGAGAGAGAGAGAGAGAGAGAGAGAAGGATGGAGGGAGGAAATGAGGAGGATGACAAAATAGGAAGGGAGAGGATGGTGCTGGTGGGCGGGCTGGCACACAAAAAAAGCCACGCTTGGTAACAATAAGGATGAGGATGACACTGAGTTGTTTGTGTATGTGTGAGTGTGTGTGTGTGTGTGTGTGTGTGTCAGCATCGAGGGACTGTCCTTCCGTTATTCATTGTGACTGTGTGCATGAATGAAACCCCTGTTTGTGTGTGTTTGTGCACTCGCATGCGTGCATGTCATGTCAGTGAGTGACAGGAAACTGCCATTCAGTCTATTTCTGAAAGCCGGAGAGAGTTGGAAACCCAAGGCAAAGACTGCTGCCCAACAGCACACACAGACCCCCTCCTCCCCCGCTGACCTTTCCTAAATGTTACTGGCCACTTGGCACACTGACTGGGCCTCTAATGAAACTTTTATTGGCCCCCATTTTTCACCCTGTTTCTCCAGAACGCCTCCAGGGCTAAGCTGAAATACAACAGGCTTGAACTGCAGCTGACACACAGAAGGGCAAGGTATGGTGAGCGTGTGTGTGTGTGTGTGTGTTTGTGTGTGTTATAGTCTTCACATTTCATTTTTTCTACCTTTTTCTTTATTCCAAAATCAATTAGATCAATTAGAAATGTTGATGAGATCATTTAAAGCCCTTACCTGCTGAATATTTAGCTCAATATATCATTCTCCAATTACATTTGATGATATCAGGTAATAGCTGGAGGCGAACAAGACCCTCTCTGGGAGAGCTGGTTTATCGTTTGCATTACATTCTGTGTTGACTCTGTTTGTCCAAATGGGGACTATTGGGAATTAAATGTGCAGGATCGACTTTTAGCACCAAGGAGGAGAAGTGCCAAAACAGCTAAAGTTAGTGCAGTCAAGGATAACTACATCAGTCAACAATATATTATCAGGCAAAATAGATACACTCAGCTATATTATTGTTAGTGTAGCTATCTCCTGGTGTCATAGAAGCATATTAGTTTAAATGCGTCATCAGCACTGACCTGCTCACACTATTTGGTGTAAAATTGGTTTCTGAACTGTGACTAGAAATATTATTATAAGGTCTCAATCAAGTACATTTGACCACATTTGCATAATGCTTATTATTAATAATTAGAATAAAATCAATCTAATGGATAAGATGTGCACGTTAAGAAAAGTTTAATCTGCCCACACCTTAAAAGTTCTATTTTGTAATCAAACCACAGAAAATTCTCGCCTTTATCCATATCCTGTTTGTATCCAATATGATTAGAAATACAATCTATCAGAGAAACAGCTACTCCTTTTGTTAAATCATTTTTATCTTTCTGATTCTATTTTTTACAGACTCCATCTGCTGTGGGAGATCGAGTCAAACGAATGAAAGCTCCAGAACAGCTACTGAGAGGACCTTGTGGTGGAATGTTTTTGTCAAATGTTGTTTCCAAGGGGAACTTTCAATCTCAATGTTTATAGTATTTTAACAGAGAGCAATGGGGCATTTACAACACAAACTGTGTATGACAATTGCTGCTGCCAAAGCACAGTGGGTTAAAACAAACAACAGATCAGAGTTTCTTCAGACATAACATGGCTGCTGGTGAATGATGAAGATATCAGCTCCAATACCAAACTAATACACCTTTTACTAAAATCATTACATTTCACACTGTGCTCGTATAACTTGGTAGCAATAACCACAATGCATATACATTTCTATTTAGCCTAACTGTACACTTACTACGTTTTCATTTTGAAGATTGATCCTAGCGGGATGTGTCTGACTGTCTTTGCAAACAACGTTCGGTTGTCGTGAACACATCTAGTGCATGTACAATGGAAAGAGTGGACTGACCTACCATGCTTTAAATTATTTCCATGTCTCTAAGCAAGAAATATCTCAAATGTGTTAAAGATTGAGCGGTTTGCATCACCTATTGGTGGATAAAAGGATTTATGCATCTGTCCTTGTGCAGCATGTGTGTGTAGATGACCCAGTGCAGAGGAGAGCGGATGGGTTAGGCCCAGCTGGGTTGTGTTTTTTCCTCTGAGGAAGCACGGGGGGGTGGGCAAAGAGGTCAAGAGCAAACTGTTGATTCTCATTATAAGCTGCTGTTGGACTCACGCAAGACTAATTACCACAAGCTGAAGTGAGCAGAGCAGGAATGAACTGAGTTGAGCTGCACTGAAGGATGCATCTGCAGAGCAAGGACAGGGTTAGATTAAGTTGAAAAGAGCTGAATAGAACAGAACAGAACTCACGGCTGGCAGAGTTTGATGAGGTCCTGGTCAGTGGTGGCAGGTGGCAGACCTCTGATGTACAGGTTGGTCTTACTTAGCTGCTCCACTAGCCCTCCTCCATGACCTCCTCCTCCACCTCCACCTCCTCCTCCTCCTGTGGTGCCTGGACTGGGCGGAGCCATTGGCGGAGGGGGAGGAGCATAGGACTGCTGCAGAGACGGGGAGAGAAAAGAGGGAGAGGTCACTTCAGGTCACAACACTCACAAAAAAACAAGTTCAAGCTTTGTATGCCATTTCCTCTAATCACCGATTTTATAATGCCACAAAATATTTTCACTTTCAGACTGTCAGTCGTACCCATCAAACACGACTTCATTTTTCTACCGAACTCACATCCTTTGGAATAATCTCTTCCTGCATCAGGTCCCACACCGATAACTTGATTCAACAGGAAGCACATCAAATTAAGGAAGCAGGATGTGTGTAATTAGCAGTGCTCATTATGATCTCGGTACAAAGTTTTACTACGGGTGCTTGTATCAATAACGATAACAGGCTGTGCTGCTTCTTAGCAATGACTTTTCTAGCTTTAGTTCACTTTGATGACAGCGCAATAAACATTCCTATTCAGTCAGTTTCATTATCATGACTGGAGTGACCTTCTGTAAGTTACAGTGCTTTTGTGTTATGGAGCAGGAAATGTCACAAGCTACTGGCAGCATTGTTAAAGATAAAGAGGTTTACAAAGTGTCAGTGGACAGAAGGCTCTGAGCGCGAGTCCTGTTCAATGGTGAGTGCATTTAAAAGTTGCCTCAGCTGTCCTGACAAGTCTTTAAGTCAACACATCATAGAATAGATCATTACCAATGACTCCCAAAATGTTGTACTACATGACCGGTGGTTCCATTAACAGGCTCACCTACTCAAAGAACTGGAGTTACATCCAGTGACTACAAGTTAATGTTGTGAAACAGTTGCAGTTTGGTTAGGTTTAGGCAAAGATCATAGTTTGAGTTAAAATAACTATATTTGCTTCGTACTTTAAGTTATGTATGTAAGTTAATGTACGCCACTTTCACACATGCACTGCAAACGTGGAATTATCTAGACATTACCCGGAGGAGCTGTATGTGGGAATGCGAATTTCCGAATCAGTTGGATCAAACAGACTTTACCCTGCCAGCCTCCTAGTACAAAATCCATCTAATGTCTGATCGAGCCCATATGTGAATAAAGCAGGTAATTATTCGGACAATTCACAGCAAGCGCGTAGGCGTGTTGATGACATTTCTATTATGCAGCTCATGCAAAACCGGACGAAAACAAACATCAGAGGGTGAAGAAGAAGAGTGATTTAAACAAAGAGGGCAACAAAATTGTCTTAACTGCAGAGATGGCAAGATTTAGGAACTCCTATCGGTAAAACCTGAAGCTGTAATAGTAAGACATATTATTTAGAAAAATATATGAAAACATTATATTAAATAATGAAGGGCAAGAGACTGTTGTTTATGACCAAATTATGAACCAGTTATGTAACTGTGGTGTAATCCATGTCATGTCCTGCCTCCTGCACACTCTACTCAGGGACCCCCTCTTGCGTAAACCAAACATACAGTAGTATTTTCAGTAGGTGAGAATGCTTCTGACACAAACAATCTCCTATATGAACCAGCTTCGTGACCATGGTGTAATCTGCATATGTCTTCCCTCCTACATGCTCTACCCAAGCACCATCCCTCACCTAAACCAAATGGACTATTTCCAGTAGGTGAGAATGCCTTTGGCACAAACAATCTCCTGTTGTGTGCTACATGTGTTAAAGGGAAACTCCAGGCAATGTCCGGAACTGTTTCTTTGGACATTGTACAGAGTTCATATGACAAAATGGCATCACATCACATGCATGGCGTAAGTTAAATACATTACGTGACGAGTGGTCTCCTGGGTGAAAGTCCTGTGCTTGTTTTACCAATCCATTAGTCCATGTCCTCTGTACATGGACTTTGTCTAACAATAAATATAAACATGGGTTGTAATAAGCTGCTTGTAAAAATTACCTATGAAGCCATTTGTTGGGGGGAGAATGGTCTGCTTTTCATCTAAAACTGAATTTTAAAATGGGGTCATTTAACTTCTTTTCTAAGCACACTTCTATCTAACAACATTTTCTTAATACCTGTAATCTTCCTACTTCAAGGTAGTGCCAACTATTTCTTAAACAACACAATACTGCCGTTGGCACAGTTACTGTGCTTTAAGAAATTAAAGTCAAGCACCGTGTTATGTTGCACAAACCAGGTCATCCGGTGTTTAATCCAGGCCTGGGCCTTTTACCTTCCCTAACTTACTCAAACATTCCCTATCGGTCTCCACTGTCCAATTACACAGCTCAATGCTGACTAAATGACTTAATAAGATGACCATTTCTGGCAGGGAGGAAGGGCAGTGTGAGGATTAATGAGTGTTTGGATGATGGGTTCAGAGTGCAAACATCCAACCCTGCCTGCCCGCTGCCGTAGGCAAACTATTAGGTTAAGTTTGGAGGAAGTAAACAAGCCCGATGGCTCATATGACAACAGCACTGAAAACACTCTGTCTGCCTCCTTGATGTTTGGAGCAAAACAGCCACACTGGCTTGACAAAGAAATCTGGACCCAGCATTGGTCCCACTGTAGGGAACTGGATGGAACAAGTTCAAGAACCCGCTGCAGTTGGAGATGATCACAGGCCGGTTCCACTGTGTGCCACAGTGACGAGTGAGAGAGACAGGGATAGAAAGTGGAGGGAAGGGAGAGAGACAAGTGAGACAGGATGTGCGTTTGGATGTGTACTGTATTTGGCGGATATATGTGGATGTGAGTGTGTACGCAAGTGCTAGAGAGCGTGTGTGAGCTTGTGTATGTGTGAGTCTGTGTTTGTGATAATGACAGGTTGCCACCACACAGCAATGTGGGAGCCTGAGCCAGCTCTGATATTAATCCATTACCTGTACTTCCCTCAACTGGCAGACAATTCCTGACAGATACACACACACACACACACACACACACACACACATATATATACACAAGCGCTCTGGCAGCTCAGACAGACTGCGCTAACAGGATTCAACACATGTACAGCAGACATGCAGCAGTAAAAGGAGACGGTGCCTGTGGAGTAGTGTCATTTACAGGCCACTGCTTCACACTAACAACCCAGAATGAGCCTATACACTTCAACAAAAACATGACAAAGTACAGAGATGAAAAAAGGCTACACTGGGTAATACTTCATTTTAATGGCTGTGACAAATACAACTCTATATTGCAAGTGACTCCTAAAACCCTTACATTTGCAGTTTGGTATTTTTTTCCATAATATCTCCCAATACTGTGAGAAACAGATAATATTGTCTATGAGTCTGCAAACCACTGACGATACAAATGTGAAAAATGCATAAACCTCCCTAGTGCTTAAATGTAATGATTCAATTAATGAATTAATCAGGTGAGCAATAATCTATGAATTATTCAAGCCATTTATAAAAAAAAGAAAGGTTGTCAAAAGTTGCAGTTTTTCAAATGTAGGATAAGATTTGTTGTTTTGTTTTGTTTTGGTTATGTATCAGTGTAATGGAATATTTTGGGGTTTTGGACTTTTGGTGCAAATTAAATATGTTGTCTTGGGCTCTGTGATTTTACAGACCAAACTATTCATCAAAAATATACACATATCAAAAGGTTAATACATAATAAAAAGTTATCATTATTCATGCAGTAGCATAGACAATAGGTTTTCTGAATCATAATTAATGGCTTGTAATTTGTGTACAAACAAGACTAAGAGTCAATAGTCATGCTAGTGAGCTAAATGCTAATGCTAAGATGCTAACATGAAAATTATGACAATGCTAACATTCATTTCATTCTTTTTCTGTAACCGCTTATCCTGTTGGGGGTCGCGCGGGGGCTGGAGCCTATCCCAGCTGACATTGGGCGAAGGGCAGGGTACACCCTGGACAGGTCGCCAGACTATCGCAGGGCTGACGCATAGAGACAGACCACCATTCACGCTCACACTCACCCCTATGGGAAATTTAGAGTCACCAATTGGCCTAACCTGCATGTCTTTGGACTGTGGGAGGAAGGCGGAGCACCCAGAGTAAACCCACACTGATACGGGGAGAACATTCACACTCCGCACAGACGGGCTCTCCCACCCTGGGTGTGAGGCGACAATGCTAACCACTGCACCACCATTGCTAGCATGCTGATGTTTAACTGCAATAATTTTTACCATGTTCACCATCGTAGTGAGCATGCTAACATTTGCTGAGGTTGACGGGCATGTCAATAATGCAGGTATTCGATCATAAGCCTAAGTATTACTATTTTTGACCTGATAGTGCTAGATTAAAAATGAATGGATCCCCAAAGTTATTACAGTTCACCCAGAGAGGCATGTGAAAGTCTGTATAAAATTTAATGGCAATCAATTTCATCAAAAATCAAAACACGTCAACCTGCTTCTAGCACTAAAGGGAAAGTCAGAGGATCGCCAAAATCATTAAAATGCACCCTCAAAGGACATTAAATATGGAGTTGCATCCCACAGTTGGCAAGTTTTTTTTTCACTACAACCCCAAAATATCCTTCATCATTATGTGGAGGAAAATTCAGGTATCACCAAAGTCAGTGGGGTTCATCCTCTGGGGACCACTAATGCCCAACACTGTGCACATTCATGGGTCCCTGAGGATCACCACTAAAGCCATGTTCAAAACATCAGCTTATCCTGAAAATATAATTGAAATGTCTTGATATCATTACTGTAAAGACTGACAAAAAAAGATTAACACTGATTTGCTTAAGTTGTATTCTCATTAAGGACCACTTTTTAGCTGATAGAAAACAAACATGCTGAGCAAAGCATCAAACTCTAAATTCCTTCAGAGGAGCTGCTCAGTGCCCAGCAGTGTGCGATTTGTACTGAGAGGTGCGTGGACGTGTTTGCATGCGGCGCCTGTGATCACAATAATGAAAACCTCACTGCTTCAAAGCCTGAACTGTGTCGAGGGCTGCTTCGATATGAGCCTTTTAACAATGGGTTTGTTTACCGACCACCTCTGAAAGACGGCATGGATACACGTTTGATGGGAAGTGACAGATACAAACCAAAGACCCCAGGCTGAAATGAAGGGGAAATATCACCACAATACAAGCTA